ATTTTCCAAACCTTGTGGAACTCCAAACACACAAGCATTCTAGAACTTGTAGGAAAAAGGAGGATAAAGTTTGCAGATTTGGGTTTCCTTTACCACCCTTGTCAAGGACAATGCTTCTTCAACCTCTTGAATCAGATGTAAGTAAGTATAGAAAGAAGTATCAAGAATTACAAAAAAAAATGAATGATGAAAAGGAAGGATTTGACATGTCATATGATGAATTCTTGGTCAATGTAGTAGAACTGGAGGAAGAGGAATATATCAAGTGCATAAGGAGCTCCCTCAAGGCACCAAAATTGTTTCTGAAGAGATCACCTAAAGATATTCGTGTAAATTATTACAATGAAACTGTTCTTCAAGCATGGAAAGCAAATATGGATATGCAATTTGTGTTGGACCCCTATGCATGCGCTATGTATATTGTGTCTTACATTAGTAAATCACAGAGAGGAATGAGTGCCTTGATGCATGCTGCATGTAAAGAAGCAAAGCAAGGAAATTTAGATATTAAAAGACAGGTCAGACATGTAGGAAATATATTTTCCAATAGTGTAGAAGTAAGTGCTCAAGAGGCTGTTTATTTAGTCCTTCAGATGCCATTGACACGATGCACCAGAGATGTAGTTTTTATTAATACTTCCCCAGCAAGTAAAAGAGTGCATCTATTGAAAACCCAAAGTGCCCTTGAAGAACTTTCTGCTGACTCCACAGACGTATTTGCTGACAATATTATCAAGCGTTACGCTAAACGTCCAAAGTGCCTTGAACATTACTGCCTAGCAGACTATGTCTCACAACTAGAAATCGTTTTTCCAAAAGATGATTTTGTTAATGCTCATGACGAAGTAAATGATGATGATTTATGTGAAGATGAACAAATGGACTTTGGTGCAGAGACCACAATTTTGAAGCTAAAAAATGGTATTGTTATTAGAAAAAGGAAGACGCAAAAAGTGATCAGGTATGTACGATTTAATAGGGAGACAAATGAAGAAAATCATTTTCGAGAAAAACTGCTACTGTTTTATCACTGGCGTAATGAGGAAGCAGATCTGCTTGGAAAATTTAAAACATTCAGAGCACGTTATGAAACTGTGAAAAATATTGTTGACAGTAAGGTAAAACAATATGAACATCACGCTGAAGTATTAGAGCTAGCAAGGGAAAGTGCTGAGCAAGATGAAAACAGTTTTGATGATATTGCTCCAGGAGCGCAAGAAGAGGATGCTAGTGCTGAATTCGAAGAACCAGTAGAGTCTGAAACATTTGTTTACTTCAATCCTGACCAGTCAGCACATAGAGAGTATGACATAGGTATAGAAATAGGAATAGGTGCTTCAACAGCAACAGTGGAGCCAACAGAGAACATAATGTGTGATGATGATTATTATGCATTATTGCGCTCACTTAATAGTAAACAAAGACACTTTTATAATCATGTTGTGCACTGGTTAAAAGTTAAAGATGAACCTATTTATGCTTTTCTCTCAGGTGGTGCTGGTGTTGGCAAAAGTGTTGTAATTAAAGCATTATATCAGACATTATACAGAATGCTTAATCTTAAAGAAGGTGAAAATCCTGATGATATTAGAGTTTTATTATGTGCATTTACTGGGAAAGCAGCATACAACATACATGGCGCAACAATATCATCTGCATTAATGGAGAGATTCAAGCAGGCTAACCAATTGTTAGGTTGTGACCAACTTAACACATTTAGATCTAAGTACAGAAGTTTATCTGTCATTATTATTGATGAGATATCTATGGTCAGCAATCGAAAGTTGTCTTTCATTGACCAAAGGTTACAGGCTTTAACAGGGACAAAAACTCCATTTGGCGGTAAAAGTATTATTGCAGTTGGTGACCTGTACCAGTTAAAACCTGTTGCGGATTCTTGGATATTTGAAGATCTATCAAAGGATGCATCATCATTGGCACCAAATTTATGGCAACAAAATTTCACTATGTTTGAATTGACAGAAATCATGAGACAAAAAGATGACCTTAAATTTGCTCAGTTATTGAATAGGCTGAGACACAATGAAATGACAGAGGAAGATAAAAGACAGATAACAAAGTGCTCTGTGACTCCTGATGCTGAAAATTACCCTAAAACTGCCCCCCATATATTTGCTGAAAATTACTTTATGGACAAATTCAATCAGAAAATGATAACAAATCTAGATGCAGAAAAAATAACAATAGAATGTCATGACTCCATTGTTACTGGGAATATATCAGCTGAAAAACAGAAACACATACTTAGTAAAATCACAACTGACTCTTTAAGAACTATGGGCTTACGGCAATCTTTAACAGTAGTAGTTGGAATGATATATGATTTGACTATCAATCTTGACACTGAAGATGGCTTGAACAATGGAAGTCCATGTGTTGTACAAGCAATTGAATACAGACAAGCAGAAACTAGGAGACCAAGTATAATTTGGGTACAATTTGATGACTTTAAGGTTGGCAGAAAGTGTCGTAGGAAATATGAAAAGAAGGGCTTTTATCACGAGGGCATAGACCAAACTTGGACACCTGTGTTTGATGTGGAACGCACATTCCCTTACAACAAGTTCAATATTCAGAGAATTTCAATTTCCCCTCCAACCATCAGCAGGTCGCTCAGTTTACAGGGCACAAGGAACAACACTTGATTCTCTTGTGGTAGACTTAACACAGAAAAAAACTAGAAAGATTCCACATCTTCATTATGTAGCATTAAGCAGAGTCAGATCAATCAAAAATTTATACATTGTTAATTTCAATGATCAAGCTCTTCAGCTAGATGACAAAGTCGTTCAAGAAATGAACAGATTGAATGAAACTGCAAGACTTCAGCTTTGCTTCACGCCCCTTGATACAATTGACTCATCTGCTTACTTCAAAGTAGCATTTCACAATTGTCGCTCATTGCACAAACACATTGAAGATGTAAAAGCTGATGGAAATGTTTTATCTGCTCATATTGTAGGATTTGCTGAATCAAGACTATGTGAAAGAGATATTGATCAAGACTACCTTATAGAAGGCTTTAACCTTATGCGAAATGACCAATGTTCAGGAAGTAACAATGTACGTCCTCCTCATGGATTAGCCCTTTATATAAAGACTGGCATTGAAATAGTGAAATCTACAAGACATAATGAACCAAATGTTGAATTTACATTCCTGCATGTTAAAATAGTTCACAAAGAAGTACAGGTAGTCGTTCTTTACAAGGCACCATGTATCTCATTTCGAGATTTAAAGAAAACATTAGAAAAGGATCTTTTGAAAGTTGTAGATAAATCAAAGAATATTATCATTCTTGGTGACTTCAACACAAACATATCACAGCTGGACAACAGTCTTTGTACATGGATGCAACAGAATCTTTCATGTTATCAGTCAATCAAAACTGTAACAACAGATTATGGTACCATTCTGGATTTGATATTTACAAATTGTGAAGGATCTGAAGGATTGTCTCATGTTGTAGAAACGTATTGGTCAGACCACAAATTGATTTTTATGGCGGTCCCTTATAACAGATTACATTAACGCCTAAGTTTAGAGCTATGTACAATACTGTCTAGAGAAAGCCTTTACATGATTATAGGTGAAACTAATCACCTTCCTACAAGAAGGGGATTACATTAGGGTTTGTTCCTGGTGGCCAACAATAACAAAATTACAAACTGTAATAAGATTAATCCTTTTTTTTCCCTCTTTTTTTGCACATCACAATTTCCTTACATATTTTATCAAAATTTCCTTACATATTTTATCAATAATAACTGTATTAATTTGCATGTCTTTAGACCCCCTTTTTGCTTAAAGTGTATACAATGTTGATTCTTCTCATCAATGGTGATCCAAAACATAAATTTTATCTAAAACATGTATTTGATAGCACTTAGTTTTAGATCTTTCATGTTCTCCCTTTGCAATGATTTCAATGTATCATTTTGCTATGTTACTGTGTTTATATTTCCAAGAGCATACACTCAGCAATTATTGATCATTCCCTTCCAGTTGGCCGGAAATTCATACATGTTTTAACCATTGTTGAATTTTTAAGGCCATATTAGCACAATTTATTCAATGTAAAGGTTACGTACTATATGATATGTTGCAGCTATAGTTGTATCAATTAGAATAACCTGAAAACTAATTCCAGAGTTTTACCATAGTTAACAACTTATTAAATCTTTGAACAAGTGAAGAGATATGTACTATTTGTAAACTTTGATTTTTAATATCATGTTTATGTTTAAAGTTTGCAGTGTAATAGTGTAGGGCTGAGTCTTCTGCTGGAAAATAGCACATTTATTTTTTGTTATTTATGTGTGTTAAAAATGTTATATTATGAAAGGGAGACTACAGAGGTTTTTTGACATGAAAAAACTGGAATTCAATAATGACTTTATTGAACATCAGGACTGACAAATTGTGTGCAAATTTTCAAATCATTAGTAAGATATTTTTACCATGCTTTAAAAAATAGCTATTTTTATATTTCACAAAATGATAAAAAAATTAAAGGCATATATTATCAATGTTTTTCTGCTCAAATCCTTTTAACAATCTAACATTAAAACTTTTATCGTCTTCTGACTTTTCCATTTTAAGTATTTTAAATGATATTATTGAATTTTAATTGGGTTACTGCTTAAATTTTACTGCATAGCGTACTTTTCTTGTATAGGTGTAGTTTGCAGTTCGAAACTGAGTTTGTCCGGAATGTTACGGTATGGTATACATTTTATCCAAAGACGCAATTCGCGCCAATACTGTGTATGAATTTCCTTACAAAAAGTAGTGCTTTACTTTTCGTTGTTTTATTATTAATTTATTTAGTGCTTCGGATTCCATAATTATTTTATTGTGATGAAATTAGCGTCTCTTATGCATACGAGATGTATAAATGTTGTATATATTAAATGTTTTGTGACAAAATGAGAACGCATTTCCTGACGTCATTCTCCCGGAATATTATCCCAGAAAAAATGGCGTCCACATCAAAACGAAAAGTTGATGACAGAGATTCTGAAGATATCTCCTGTTACGTTCATAACGTTTCCGAAATTATTACAGCAGCAACGTCAAAGACGAGGTATTTTTACGGAAATGTTCAAACTAATCATGACAAAGTCGTCAGGTTCGTCAGTTTTTCGCCTGAGAAACAGTCAGCAATGAAGTCGGCCGAGTCGACAAAGAGCCCAGTGAAAATTAGTAACTGTGTGTTCACTCCCAAAGGAGACAGTGTTGAAATCACGGTTAGAAAGAATTCACAAATATCAGTCGTCAAGAAGCTAGACTTTGAACGGATAACAAAGATGGAAGATGCTGCGAAACTCGTGACCTTGCAAGCCATTGCAACTGCTAACACAATGGTAAATTTTATTAGATCTACACCTACTTTTTTGTTGATATTTTAATACTGAAATGCATAAGTAAAATATGTATGTGATCTGTTCAATATAAAATCATGGCTCAAGTTAAGAATGCCCCTTTATCAGTTTATTACATTAATTAAGAAAACATTTCATTTACCAGTTGATCATTTGGCAATCGATCAGGTCTAGTAATTGGTATCTGGACGTTTCACCGCCTGGACGTCTCAGCATTGGTCTTTCCACCTACTTGACATTTCGGCCCTATGGACTGCTGTAAATTAACAAATAGTCTATAGATTCTTTTTTAAGCGATATTCAATGTGAAATTTGCTGTTTTTATGTTTACACTCAAATCCACAGGTTTAGACATGTTATTTAATAATCGATTGTTTATATTTACAATGGTAATGGGAGAGATTCATCTTTGAATGATAATTTTGAATTATTTTTTTTTTCATTTGAAAATTAAAAGTTATCAAATTGTTCTGAATCCTATAATATGTAGCCTTATTTATAGAAACCTGTGGTGTTGAATTTTAATGCAACTTCTACTATTTTCTTACTTAATGCATGTAATTTTACAGGTTAAAAATATGTTAAATTATGTATCGTACAAAATTTACGATAAATATCATCTAGACCTGTTGATGGTTGCTATTTTGTTTGCTAATGTGTAGTTTAGCACTATTGAATTTTGACAATCAGTGACAAATTTCAGTAACTAAAATAAATAGTGTGAATTTCACCAAATAAGGTGATGAGCTGAAAGTAACAACTGTCACAGGGACATCCTGTAATTATGCCTCTCTTCAAAGAAACTGGGTCTATTGCTTTGCTTTTGCCTGCCAATCAATAGGTCAGTTGGTTCATAGACCAAATGGTTTACGAACAATTTGAATAATAACTAAAGAACGCTTAGACCTAGGAACTAAACACTTTGTATGATGACTGTTTATGACCAGTAGCTAATTAAGGTGCAACAATACATTCCGATGCATCAAAAACCAGTTTACATATCGCCGATTTGATTCCAATACCAAATATAAGAATTTAGATTCAATTCACAATCAAAAATAAACACGCAAACAATGCAAATTTTAGTCCCTCTCTAACTATTATACTGCTTTATTACTTTAATCACGACTGGTAAATTTTACTCTCTCATCCAATCAATGAGCGCATCATGTTGTATTTTCTCAAAGCTAATCAAACGTCAATGTAGGAAAAATAAATCTAAAATTCCTCTGACAAAACTTACATAAATGAAGTTGGAATGCTTTGGGTTTTGCGAGAGTAAAGAATTAAAGATTATGCTTTGTCAGCATGTCATGTCCAAAGTTGCAACAGATGAAAAGGAATAATTCTACTGATATTGACATGTTTAAAAAGCCTAGTTTTAGTTTGAGGAAAAAGTACGTTTTTTATAAGTTTACTAACCACATTATTAAGATACTTTTTTTGCTTAGAATTGTATTTTCTAATTTGAAATAAAATGCGTTGTTTTCTTTCTAATTTGATATAATCCATTAATTGTTTCATTAATGCTTCTACTACTAATAAGTTAGGAGGCAACTCAACAAAAAAAATGTCTAGGATCCCTGCTTTTTACAGCAAATATGCACAATTGTCAACTAAAGCAGGGCTCTACAAATCCCATAGTCTGACGTCCTGGACAAGTCTAAAACCAATTAAACTAACCAAATTTTGGTGTATGATTGCAGCCCTACTAAATGACGCCTATCAGGGACTGCGTTTAAGGCAAAGGTTCCACTAACACTCCAAATTCATGGGTGAAAAGAAGCTCCAATGACAGTTGTGAAAAGGCAAAAGAATTTTTCCTTATATATTATGTAAAATTTGACTCATCCTTAATATTGTATATAAAATTTGACCCTTTTATGGAAATTTTTACGGGCCAAAATGAACATAACTGAAATTTCAGGGGTCAAAACCTGTTTCAAGGTTCAAATGAAACCCTGGTTTAAGGCGTATTTTCACATCGCCCAGCTGCCGATAAGGGGCATTATCTTGTTTGCTCTGAATGTCATATGATCATTTGTTGTTATATTTGTAACTTTCAGTGTTCCATTAAAGCCAAAGTTGTTTCCATATCAACGACAACAGAAGTTAACACCAGGTATGGACAACGTCAAGTTCAAAAGGTAACAGTTGTGGATGACACAAAATCAATGACCTTGGCCCTGTGGCAACAGCATGTGGACAAATTGAGACATAAATGCTACTACAGCATTGAAAACGTTATCTCGACATACTTTCAGGTAAACTCACAAGTGTGCACTTATTAATTAAGGGCTTTCCAATCGTGAACCAAATACAATGATGCAAAAAAACTTTTTTACACTGCAGATCTTTTTATCCTTCTTTAAGCGTGTCAGGTACACAAACCAGTTCCAGTCATCAAAAAAAATTAGGGTCAAGCATATTTTTAAGTAGGGTAGGGTTAGGCTAACAAATCTTAATTTTTTTAGGCCTCACATTTTTTTTTTATAAGCCGACTGCTTACCTTGAAAAGTAAAGTCCAACCAAAATGAAACATAAAAAAGGTTTGTTGTGCACCATGTTTTTTCACTTGGGATTATAATAAAAAAAAGCATATCCATCAACAAGTATGTACTAATTAATACTAAGGATTTCATAGAATTTGCTTTATAATGGTCAAAGACGTGTATTTTCTTTTCCAGAGTGAATTACAGCTATCAACAACGTCAAAGACAAGCTTTAAACCTATAGAGGAGTTTGATATTGTTGAAGTAGATGACAGTGTTGACAACGTCATCAAGTCTGTAGGCACTGTTATTTCTTGTGCTTTAAAAATTATTTCAAAGTGTGTCAGTTGCAATAAATCTTTAGACATTGACACAAGCAGTGCTATTGTTAGATGTCTGCATTGTTCTTCAAAACAGAAAGTTTCTCAAACAAGATTGACGAGACAACTAAACTTGCAGCTCGATTCAAATCAGAAAGTTCAGAAATTTGTAGTGTTCAACGAAGTCTTAAACACATTCATATTGAAATACAGTTTAAAGACATTTAACAATGATGAACTAGAGAATTTCATCCTTAATGCTAATGAGCTAGAACTAAAACACAATAGTAATTCTGATGTAGTTTTAAACTTGGATGTAAATGACAAGCTGACAGTGCAAACACAGGAATGTATATAATAATCTCATCAGCTTATGGGTAAGAAAACCCAGGAGTTTGTCAGAATGTGTGAAGTGACACTCATGCTCCTATTCAGTCTTCGCCTTAATTAGCTCGACTTTTTTTTAAATTTTTATCTAGCACTAGCCAAGCCAAACTAGCAACTAACAATTTTTAGCTCGACTATTCGAAGAATATGAGAGCTATTGTAGTCGCGTCGGCGTCTGCATTGGTTAAAGTTTTTTGTGAAGTCAAATATCTCAATTATTGCTTGAGATATTCAATTGAAACTTACAATACTTATTTATAGTAACAAGGTACATCAGATTGACAAGTTGGATAACTCTGCCTACAATATTGACAGAATTATGCCCCTTTTTAACTTAGAAATTTTGGTTAAAGTTTTTTGTAGAGTCAAATATCTCAATTATTGCTTGAGATATTCAATTGAAACTTACAATACTTATTTATAGTAACAAGGTACATCAGATTGACAAGTTGGATAACTCTGCCTACAATATTGACAGAATTATGCCCCTTTTTAACTTAGAAATTTTGGTTAAAGTTTTTTTTGTAAAGTCAAATATCTCAATTATTGCTTGAGATATTCAATTTAAATTTAAAATACTTTTTTATAGTAACAATGTACATCATTTTGCAAAATTGCATAACTCTGCCTGCAGTATTTGCAGAATTATTTGCCCCTTTGAAACTTAGAAATTTTGGTTAAAGGTTAAAGGTCTGCAAAGATATTTACTTGAAACTTTACACATGCACTTAGGGTCATAATTGGAGGGTCAAAATTGTATGTCACTGACCAAGTTCCATAACTATCTTGCATTAAGGCTGATTCATATCCCCTTTTCTACTTAGTCTCTTGGTTAATGTTTACATGCAAGTTTTACATATCTCAATAACTATTAAAGATATTTATTTAAAACTTCACATATGCATTTAGGGTCATAATTGTAGGTCACTGACAAAGATCCATAATTCTATCTTGCATTTAGGCTGATTTTTCTCCCCTTTTTCAACTTAGAAATTCATGGTAAAGTTTTGCTTGTAAGCTGTTATCTCAATAACTACTGAAGGGTTTGTGCCTTTTTTGGGAAATTTTATGCATTCATAATAATAAAGCAGTGATTTACTTGATAAAACATCTTAATAACAAGCCTTTGTACCTTTTCTGTCAATTTATGTATTCATAGGTAATTAGTATTATTATACTCAATAAAACACCCTTGTGACATTACCTTCCGAATAGTCAAGCCAATACTGTATAATTAGATTCTCTCTAAGGCCTATAACATGAATTTATTAGCCCTTTTGTGAACTTAAAAATTTTAACATTATCAAGGTTCTTTTACTATCAAGCACTTGGAATAGTCGAGCGTGCTGTCCTACCGACAGCTCTTGTTATTACATGGAACCAATTTTCACTAGCCCGCACCAAATGATACAAAACTAAGTAAAAGTGACAAATATTTTTACAAACAAGTTAAAATACCCTCGTCATTTACAGTCCATGATGATTGGAACTTATGTTTCTGGCTTTTTTCATATTTTTTCTTTTTACTTTCATCATTCATTTGTTTGCTTCTCCTTTTTGGCTCAGCGAGTTTGAAATACTGAAGAAACATTTTGACCAAATAACAAATGATGTTTAACAATAATCTTGTAATAAGCAATGAATCATAAGCGTTTCAATACACAATTTTGGATATGTAACTTGAATCAGATAGGAAAACATACATCATCAAAAATATATTTGCTATAACTTGTTTTTTTTTATATATCGATTAACTTCATATTAAAGCTCTACATCTTTTAGTTCAAGACCTTTATATATATCATGCTCAAGTTGACCTTGATCAGTGTATGACCTTGACTTTGAATATCAAATTCTTCCACTTTTAACAGATAATTGTCTATAACTTGAAATTTATCAATAGATCATTTTCGCACTTGAAAAATCTTCTTTATGAAACCTTATATGTTCAACTGACTGACCTGTATGAATCGCCTTAATTGTCAGGGTCAAAGTATTGAACTTTGGTTAAGTTGACATAATTTTGTTACGTGTTTAAATATTTGATTCAAATGTAAACAAAGCAACACTTACAACCAAAACAAATGTGTGAAATGATTTGAATATGACCTTGACTTATAAATAACCTTCACTGTAAAATTTTGATTATATTTTATTAACAGTAGTTAAAAGTGCTTGAGCTAAATACCTGACAATCACTATGTCAGCCTTTGTTTGCATAACATGCTTCCTTAAATTTGAACTGTGGTATATGACACATTCATTTTTTACCATTAGTTAATTTAGTTCCATATCAATGTACATTGTAATATTTAGTTTTCATGACATGCAAGCTTAAATGAGCAGTAGTAAGTACTCATTGTACCTCATAGAAGTGATCCTTTAGTTTGTGAAATGTGTTTACTTCTTGAAATGTGAACTGTAAGAAGTAAACTATTTTTTCTACAGTATGTACCTTTGATTTTTCAACATTATGTAGTTGTATGTTGTGCCATATCTATGTACATTGAAATGTTTTGTTTTTGTGCCCATGCAAACTTTGATGAACAATTGTAAGAAATGCTCATGTTACCTCGTGAGTTGTGTAATGACTGACAAATACAGTAGTGGTCCTTAGTAAATGAAAAGTGTATACTTCCAGAAATGTAAAGAGTAATAAATGTTACTTTCATTTTTCAACATTATGTAGTTGTATGTTGTGCCATATGCATGTACATTGAAATTTTATCTTTGATGAACATTACTTAATATGTCTTTGAAGTTTTATTGTTTTTTTATGCCTATATAAACTTTGATGAACAATATATATATATATGCTCATGTTACCTCGGGAGTTGTGTAATGGCTGACAAATACAGTAGTGGTCCTTAGTAAATGAAAAGTGTATACTTCCAGAAATGTAAAGAGTAATAAATGTTACTTTCATTTTTCAACATTATGTAGTTGTATGTTGTGCCATATGCATGTACATTGAAATTTTATCTTTGATGAACATTACTTAATATGTCTTTGAAGTTTTATTGTTTTTTATGCCCATATAAACTTTGATGAACAATATATATATATATGCTCATGTTACCTAAGGAGTTGTGTAATGGCGAAACGTTAAGTGATCCTTTATGACAAGTTTATACTTTTTAAAATGCAAACTGTAATAAATGTAACTTTTCATTTTTCAACATTATTTGGTCGTATGTTGAGCCATGCACATGTACATAGAATTTTTTTTATACCCATGCAAATATTCATGAAAAGTAACCAAAAGTGTTTATTTGACCTGAGCAGTATTGTTCTACTTGAGAAGTAAAAAGGTGATCCTTTTACAAGTGTATTCACTGGTCACTGGTAAATGTAACTTTCATTTCTTAATGTTATTAAGTTGTATGTTGTGTTCAATGCATGTACATTGGAGTTTCTTCTTTTTTTCCAACCACGCATATGCAGTAGTATATAAAAATGTACATCTTACTGCTGAAGTATGTGAACTGAACTGAATGATCAATTTTAACTGGACTGTCTAAATTTAACTTGATTTTTGCTATCGCTAGCTATAACTTTGTTATTTGTGAATTGATTGTCTACAAATTTTAACACAACAGTCCTTAGGGATGGCCCTTCAAGTCAATCAGACAGACCTTGACCTTCAGTCATAAATTACCTTGACATTGAAAGTAATATTTTCTTCTAATTTTTGCTATTTCTAGCTATAACTTTGTTATTTATAAATGGATTGTCTTCAAACTTGAACACAACAATCCTTAGGGATGGACCTACAAGTTGATCAGACAGACCTTGACCTTTAATTATAAATGACCTTGACATTGAAGGTCGAATTTCTTGATTTTTGCTGTTTCTAGTTATAACTTAGTTATTTTTAAATGGATTGTCTTCAGACTTGGACATAACAGTCCTATGGGATAGGTCTTCAAGTTGTTTAGATAGACCTTGACCTTCACTCATATTACACCTTGACATTGAATGTCAAATTAATTGATTTTTGCTGTTTCTAGCTATATCTTAGTTATTTATGAATGGATTGTCTTCAAACTTGGACATAACAGTCCTTCGAGGTTGACCTTCAAGTTGATCAGACAGACTTTTACCTTTCAATCTTTAATGACCTTGACATTGAAGGTCAAATTTATTGATTTTGGCTTATTCAAGCTATTTCTAGTTATAACTTTATTTGTGTATAGAAAGTACATAAATATATATATATTTAACTTAATGAAAGAGAGTAGTTCACAAGTATTATGCAATTCTGTGTAGCAGTTATACAAGTTTTCTCTGGTCAAAAGGTCACTAGCTAACTCTACTGTATGATACAGTCACTCTCTACCTACATGGATTATTGGAAAGTACCATGATTTCTTCATGCTCTCTTCAGCTTATGTGTCCTGTCTTTATTTTTTCTCTTGTTGGATACAACTTTTATTCATTTTTAGCCAATTTGTTTTTTACATTAATTGAACTATTTTTATTTTCTCTGAGTAAATCTTGACGATTAATTTGTTTTTGTAGTTATGTGTTTTGCCATATGCATGTACATTGAATTTCTTGATTTAATTATACATGTGTGCTTCTTAAAAAATTGTGTTAAGAGTTCATTTTCCCTAAACAATATCTTAACAAAAAAAATTGTTATATCAATAGTTAATGATGTACTTTGCTCATCTTTTTAAAGATGTACACTGCTCATCTTTAAGCGACATATTTTAAAAAATGGCCAACTTTGCAAGACTATTGATTGGGAATTCAGTTTCAAAAAAACAAAAGCTTTTGCATTCTATTAAAGTTGGACATAATGTATAAGAATTTCATAGACTTAAATAAAATTCTGCTATGAAAATATTTTACTTAAAGATGCACCAAGTACATCTTTATCATAGACTTAGCAACTTGCTCATGGTAATTTTGATTATTTTGACTTCATTCATATCATGCAATGGTAACTCGCATTCTCATTTAGTATACAAGTCATAATCTGAACCATTTACAGTAATAAATAATACAACATTCTTCAGGACTCATATTTGGACCTTAGCCACTACTCTTCCATAACCTGTGAACCTCATCTTGCCCTGCTCAAAAGGACCTCATGTTTAAACTTTTAAAGTATCTTGTACATATGTCTGTACTTGTAAAGTTCTATGTTGTACATTATCAGTGAATAGTGAATTTTTTTTGTATACCCCCACACACACACACACGCACACACACACTCACATACACACATAAACTTAAATGCTTCCCAAATTGTAATGTGGTATATTACGCATTTTTGCATTATATAGTTCTTATTTTTTTCCAAATCATGTACATTACAAAATTCTGTTTTCTTCTTTACTTTTTATTGATTGTGATGAACATGTATTGAAAATGTTGATCTCAAAAACTAAGATGTACCCACAAATGCAAAGTTGTTCTTTTTGTGAAAAATTTGATATTCCTGTTATGAAAGCTTCTTATGAGTCATAACTTTTCATCCTTGTGTCATTTAATTATATGATTTACATTCAAACTTTTCCTCGACGTGGTTTATTTTCTCAACTAGAACAGAACTAATCCGAAATAATGCAGACTTTTATTACTTCTTCAGCACTAACCAATGTTTCATTTCTTAACATTTCAAACTATGTTTGTTTGAATAAACTGCCATATGCATTAGTTGGAATGATCTTTTTACTGTCATAGCAAAATAAACCTGTCCACTGAGGTTGTATGTAAAATTATCGCCTGCATGACAAAGTTAATCTTGGTTGAATCTGTCCATCACAATTGATATTGTATTTGAGGCTTTTATAATAAAACTTGATGACACAACCTTTATCAGAATTTTGAAAGTTGTTTGCTTTTAACTTTTCTTTATACTGCAATAACTAAAATGCCATTCCGAACTGTAAAAATGTTAATAAACTTTTCTTGTTCTGATTCTGTTTTGTTTTGTGCTTTAAAACCTTAGTACATCCTTAATGTATTGTCCAATGCTTGTCCACAGCAGCTCTTGAATCAAGGACTATAAGTGAACCAGACTGACCTTGACCTTCAAAGTTTTTAATAGAATTAGTTTTACCTAAATCCATCACAGATTAGACTAACATTTACCTTAAAATAATATAGACTTATGATTTATCTATCAAATGTGTAATTTCTTGATATTGTCAAAAAATATTTTTAGCAATTTTTATTTATTCATGAGACAAAAAAAATTTAAAATGAATTGGAAAAATCTGTTGCAAAAACCTTTATACCATTAATCTTTATGTAACTAAAACATAGCACTTCTTATTTATTTTCAAATTCATTATCAAATATTATCACATTTTTAACAGTTTTGTTATTGCATATAATTTTGTATATTTTCTATTATGTAATGATGTTCACACATATCATGAATCCAAAACAAAGGATTCACAAATAATAGTGAAAATATTACAAGGTTTACAGTAACTAAACTTTTCCAATATGTCTTTCATTGAACATATTAGAACATATGGTAATGGTTGAAGTTAACAGATCCATATTGATCAAATATAACATGTCAATATTAATTTTCTTACAAAAAAACCCAGTCATATTCAGGTGAGCGATAAAGGGCCATCATGGCCCTCTTGTTTATTTGTTTGGGTCGTCAGACCAAACAAATAATGGTAGCGAAATTTCAGACGTTGATGCTGTTAATTTCAAATGCCGAAAGTTGTCCGCTTTTTTGAAGCGATTACTTCCCTTTAAATGTACTCTAACGCCGAAAAATTCAGGGGAGATCACTGCGTGAAGATTGTCAAATAACAGGCGCATTACGTTTCGAAACGAAAAAATAGTTCCCGATTGGTCCAAGAATTCTTATATTGTGTTATGGTAAATCCGTGGCTCTTCCGTGGGCGTTTTCCGTGAATATGTGACCGGGGTATTACGGTTGACTACAGAAAATAGTTAACGATGATTATTAGACATTATATTCAGAAAGAACAAATTGCTGGTTCATAAATGTGGCCGTGCAACACTGGCCTCTCGTGGCAATTGGCATGGGCCATGTTTGTGTAAAAAAATTATTGCATGGTCTATCAGGAATCAGATAAATGGTATCGTAACGGTTAGCTCCACAATGTCGTGCTTCTTACGGAAACTTTATATGAAAAAACAACAAATCTCTGATACAAAAATGCGTTCATGCAATGCTGGAATCTCGCAACCATTAACCTTGGGTTAGCGCTTTGGACATTATATTGCTGTTAAAGCAGCACGCCTCCAGATTCATGCTTATTTCCATGAAAATTGAGA